GGGCCTCCCGCGGGCGGCTCGAGGCTCCGAGCAGGCGTGCGCTGCTCCGGAAGCGCACGCGTGATGCAAAGCTCGCTCCGAGCAGGCGTCTGATCACACTTGTTTCCCAGACCCCCCTCGAGTCATGAAAAAATCACGACGGGAGGTTCTTCGCAATTTTCGGCCTCGGGGGGCCCTTACCGGGCCTCGGGACCGGGGGGGCTTCGGGCCTCCCGCGGGCGGCTCGAGGCTCCGAGCAGGTGTGCGCTGCTCCGGAAACGCGCGCGGTGCAAAGCTCGCTCCGAGCAGGCGTCTGATCACACTTGTTTCCCAGACCCCCTCGAGTCATGAAAAAATCACGACGGGAGGTTCTTCGCTATTTTCGGCCTCGGAGGGCCCTTACCGGGCCTCGGGACCGTCAAAAAACGGCACGGGATGAACAACTTTTCCCAGGGAATGGGTCTGGACCTCTGGGGGTCGCGTCATGAAAATCATGACGTCGGGGGTCTGGGTAGGGGCAGCGCCTGCGGGGGTGGGGGGGCTTCGGGCCTCCCGCGGGCGGCCCGAGGCTCCGAGCAGGTGTGCGCTGCTCCGGAAACGCGCGCGGTGCAAAGCTCGCTCCGAGCAGGCGTCTGATCACACTTGTTTCCCAGACCCCCCTCGAGTCGTGAAAAAATCACGACGGGAGGTTTTTCACTATTTTCGGCCCCTGGGGGGGCCCTCACCGGCCCTCGGGACCGTCAAAAAACGACTCAGGATGAAAAGCCGGTCCCGGGGAAAGGGTCCGGACTTCGAGGGGTCGCGTCATGAAAAAATCATGACGTCGGGGGTCTGGGTTTCAGTGTTTCATCACACCTGTTCGGAGGTTTTTTATCACACCTGCTCTTCTGTATCACACCTGCTTTTTGTGTCACGGCTTTTCTTTTTTTTTGCTCAGATCACATTTGTCCGGAGCGCCGCGCCAGGGGTGCGTGTTCTTCTGCGGTCTTCCGACGTGCGAAGGTGCAAGTGTCTGGGCCCCCAGCTGGCCGCCACGGAGGCGACGCGGCCAAGACGAGAGTCGCAGAAGGCGCGGGCCTTGTCCACTGATGTAGGGCCGGCGCCGTTTAAAAATCAGCCTCCGACCCCTTTGTGCGCATCGCCAGAGGACGAGAGCTCGAGGGGTCAGAGACCCCATGCTGCGCGAGTACTCGTCAGTGGTCTGGTGACGGATCTGACCAGTCGTCGGCAGGGCGTCTATCTTCTTCCTCCTCCTCCTCCTCCTCCTCCTCCTCCTCCTCTTCCTCCTCCTCCTCCTCCTTCTCCTCTCTCCTCCTCCGCCTCCAATCCTCGCTCGTCCTCCGCCTCTCTCGTTCTTCGCAGTATCTCCCTCCCCCTCCGACGTCCTCCCCTCCTCTTCTTTCTCCTCCTCCGCCTCTCTCCTCCGCCCCCTCCTCGTCTCTTCTGCTCCTCCACGCCCACCTTGCCCTGCTGCTCCTCCTCATGCCGCCAGGACACCTCCTCAACTCGCCCCTGTCCGACGAGATGCTGTCGATTATCGAGAACAACAAGGTCGACGCGAATTTGGCCCGCGCGATCACGAAGGACCGCGGAATTTCCGGCGACGGCAGTAAGATCTGGCCTCCTCTTCCTACTCCTCCTCCTCCTCCTCCTCCTTCTCCTCCTCCTCCTCCTCCTGCTGCTCCTCCTCCTCCTCCTCCTCCCCCTGCTTCTCCTAGGTGGTTCCCCAACGCGGCCCCCGCCCCACGCAGCCGTTTTGCCACGGGGGGCGCGGGGCCCGTGCCATAAGGGGGCCCCCAGGCCACGGCGGCCCGCCAGGACCTGAAGAGGCCCCCTTCGCCCGCGTGGCACCGCAAGGCCAGGCGCCTACGTGCGGACGCAAGGAGAAGGTTGAAGGCCGCGGCCGACGAGACACGTCTCGACGCCCATCACGGCAGCCAGGCCCCACGAGGGCATCACACGTCAGAGGCGTGGAGCACCTGCAAGAATTGCGGGCGTCACGAGTGGAACGCCATCCTTGTTCTGGCTCACAAGAAGTGGTTTATTGCAGGCGATTTCAATGTTACGCCAGAAGTACTACAATTGCGAGGGTTTCTTCGACGCGTCGAGGGTGTGGTGCACACTCCCGATATTGACACAACATGCGAGTCAGGCAATGGCTCCATGCTCGACTACGTCATCGCCAGTCACTCTTGCATGCCTTTCATCGTGAAGGTCACGCCCATTTTGGCCGTGCCATGGGGCCCGCATTGTGCACTGCAAATACGCTGAAGGAGCTCTGGACAACAATTGCTTTGTCGTGAACTCGTGCTGCCAGCACGAACTCCGCAGGTCCCTCGACCAGGTGTTCAGCCTACTCCTGGGTCCAATGCAGGGCGACACAAACAACAGCGACTTGTGCAGAGGGCCGCGGCTCAGGAGAAGGCCACCGAGGCGATCCAGGCAATGTTCGGCGATTTGGGTGACACTGAGCGGGCAGCGGCGCAGCTCTGGCCACCAGACTCCGATTGGGAGTCTGACGGTGAGCACGAGGCCGCAATGTCTTTCTTTGACCAATCATCTACGCCCAGTGCCGATCCCACGTGCGCGCCAGCTGCCTCTCTTCCACAAGAGTCATCGCATGTTGTGTCACAAGTTTCGATTTCAGAGGACAACCCCCCAGAGAACAGCCCTCGGCAGACACTAGGTCACACGCTTGGTCAGGTCTCCCCTCTTTCTCCCTCCCCCCTGACCTTTGGAGCACTTGTCGCGAGGAGGTCGGGTTTGTCAGGTATCATGAGGAGGAGGAGGTTTGGCCAGTGGTTCGTGATTCTGTCGCCTACGCCGTCGGCGGACCTCATGTTCGGCGCATTAGCGCTATGTACGTTGCCTGGGCCACCACCCTGGAGAGCACTGTATCGACACATCACGGAGTCAAGTTGGGTGGTGGTTTCCCTCGGGCTTCAGGACCTTTCTATCGTACCACTGGGATGAAAGCTGCCGAGAAGTGTCGGGACCAGCCCTTGCATGACCTCGTGGCTACCTGGTGGGGTCGTCGTTCCACTGTTATGTTTCGTTTAAGCAAGCATCGACGAAGAGGCAACGGCCGTGCACAGCAATTTCTTTTATGTCATGCAGCTCGCGCGCTGGCTGACGATCAGCCTGCAGGCGTACACGTCCCCCTTGCGGGGACTCAGGGGCAGGGGGAGGAGGACACCAAAGGGGCGGCATGGAGTGATTGGCAGGCCAAGCTTATGCGAATCGCGTCTTTGGCCGACAGTGTGCACAAGATGGCCAACGTGGCCAAGCGTGCTGCTGCTCGTGCTCGCCGACGGGCTGTCGGAGGTTCTCTTAGGGACTTTCGCGAGTGGGTCGCCACCCCCGAAGCCTCATGTGGCCTTCGCAAAAATTTGAAAAAGGTTCCCCCGTTCCCGACGAGCTGCGCGTTGGCGGCCGTGTTTTGGCCCACCCTCGGGGTATCGTCGACCAGAAGGCCCTGAACTGGCAGGCTCTTTGGAGCCCCAGTCAGCTTCAGGTTTCAGAGGTGGCCGACTTGTACGCTGAGATTCGAGCTGCGGCAGTTGCGGAGCAACTTGAACCGCTACAACCTGCTCGCGTGGCCCACGCGCTGCGCGCCATGAAGGCCAGAGCAGGGCGCGGGGTAGACGAACTCACACCTCTAGATATGGAACGCCCCCCCCCCCCCCCCCCCCCCCCCCCCACCCCCCACCCACACGCACGCGCACGCGCACACACACGCACACACACACATACACACATACACACATACACACATACACACATACACACACACATACACATACACTTACACTTACACTTACACTTACACATACACATACACACACACACGCACACACACGCCGCCCCAAGGGCTCCAGGAACTCACCAACATTCTTCAGGCTCGTGAACAGTGCATTGCGTGGCCTTGGCAGATCTCGGTGGTTCTCGGGAGGCTTCTCGGGAAAAAAGACGGGGGGGGGGGGGGGGTACAGGTCTCATGTCAATGATCTCAAGGACCTGGTCTTTAGCCCGAGAGGATGTCACGCGAGCATGGACTCGCGACACCCAGCCCGACTGGGGCGCGGCCGTCGCGGGGAACTCCGCACTCCGCGAAGATTTTCTTCGGGCTCTGCGCGATGAAGGCTTGTCTCGTATGGGGATATCTTTCGGAGCTGGTTTCTTGGACATCAAGGGATTCTATGATGATATGCAGTGGGGGCCTTTGGTTCGTGCGGCCCTCATATTGGGCTTCCCTCCTGCGGTCTTGGCACTGGAATTGCTGATGCGTCTGGCGCCTCGGATCTTATCTCAGGTGGGGTCTAGTTCAATGGGGCCCCAGCCGTCCCAGAGCATCGCCCAGGGCCTCAGGAGCGGGACACGCTTCGGGCGCTGCCTGGCGCATTTCATCCTGCAGGGTCTCACGACCTCGCATCCGCACATGTCCATGCGCATTTGGGTGGACGATTTAGCGGAGCATACCACTGGCACGAGAGCCCACGTTCGGAGCCGTCTGCATCGAGGGATACTAGACACGTGCCAGACTCTACAGGAGCACGGGCTCCCAGTCGCCACCAATCGTGTTATTCTGACTTCGCGCCCGTCCGACGCCAAGTTCGTCGTCCGTCAGCTTCGCAGGATAGGTTTTTTCGTTCGGCACGCACTTCAAACCACTTTTCTCGGCGTCGATATGGGCGCGGGAAGGATGGCCAGAGTCACTCGGACGAAGCGTGTTGCTAAAGCTAAGACGATGAGCCGGAGGATTAAAGGTTTGGCTAAGGCGTCGAGGAAGTATGTCAGTATGGGTTTGATCGAGAGAGCTGGGTCCCAGGCCGCTGGTACTTATGGGCACCAAATCACTGGAGCTTCTGGTACTTATCGTCAGCAGTGTCGGCGCCGCCTCGGGCACACTCTTTCTTCAGCCAAGCGAGGCCGTTGTTTAACAATTTTACTGGATCTTCGCGCCGACGGGCACGATCCAGGATGCCGATTGCCTCGAGAAGGCATGCGTACGCGGCTCCGCTCGTGGCTCTACGAGCGCCAGTTCGAGCTGTTTGGCCAGGCCTCGTTCGCCAGCTTCGCGCTCTGGCGCCAAGCCAAGTCGCCCAGCACGTGCGAGGGCCAATCTCCATGATCATAGGGTATTTGCTGGAGTTCGGGTGGAACCCCGTCTCGCCTGCGGAGGGGGGTCTTCCATCGAGTAGTGACGAGCCTGGGCCTGGTTGGATTTTTCCTGATGATCAGGGCACTGCCTCGGGAAACATCGATGGTTTGCTTGCCGACTTCGAGAGGTCGATTCGGGCGAAACTCTGTTCCTCGGCGACCTCCCATTTTTGTGGGGGGGGGCTCCAGCACGGGGCCGACAATGGCTCCCTCAGGGATACGGTTCGTTTTTTTGCAGCGTGTCCCCAACGGGTCCAGGCTTGCTGAGGCCTTGGTTACGATTGCTGTAGGCGGCACGTGGCCGCTTTCCAGAGTTCGAGAGGAGACAGGGGCCAGCGTCGGCGACATTTGCCCCAGGTGCGGCGAGGGACCCGAAACACCGATGCACCGACACTGGCTTTGCTTTAAAAGCTCTGGGCACAAGGTTTATGACGACAGTCAGTTTCTGGTTCCTCGGGCCCAGTCGGGCCAAGATGCCGAGCCGTGTTTTTGGTTCAGGGGCCTTATGCCGAGTTTGTGGACAAAGGTGCCAGACCCTTTTGAAGGTGAGGCCTGGCAGGTTTTTGCCAAGGGCGACAACCACGGCCCACACGTGCTCGGCCAGGGCACGTTCGAGCAGCCAGTTTTTGTATTTGGGGGTGCTAGTGGAGGAAAGGAGTCAAGGGATCCACGACTTCGGCGCTGCGGTGTCGGCGTATGCTCGCTGGCCTGCTTCGACCCTCCCGTTGTGCGCGGCGCCGTCTTTGGCGCGCTCCCTGGGGCTCCCCAAACCGCTCCTCGAGGAGAGTTGTGGGGCCTCTACCTTGCTATGAAATATTCCGATGGGCCTCTTATCTATGTTATTGATAATAGTGTTGTGGCGGGCGGATGCTACAACTGTAGTTGGAGGGATCCCCAGGGCTCCAATTCGCTCACCTGGAAACTCATCGGAGACACCCTACGAGAGCAACAGCGAAACGTTTCGGATGTCGTCGTTGTGCAGGTTCCTTCTCGCATCGATGCTGAAGCTCTCCAGTCCCGTGGGTATCCAGAATTCCTTGTGCATGGGAACACCGCAGCTGATCATTTCGCTGGGGTGGCAGCCGACACGAATCGCATCGACGAGCAGGTGCGCACAAGAGTGCAAAAAGTCGAGATGGAGGCGTCCTTGGTTCGCAGGCGACTCCTCCGCTCGACTCTCGAGGCCATGGCAGCTCGACCTTCCCAGGCCTCTGCTCCGTCTGTCCGTCCCCCTCCCCCTCCTGCTCCTGCCACCGTGGCCCTCTTCGGGTCTTCCCATCGCCTCAGTGATTGTGGGAAAAAGTGTGACAGGTGCAGAGGGAACACCTCTTTGGACACCAAGACAGATTGGTTGCAGACGGAGTGTTTCGATCTTGTGTCTGTTAGCTCGCATGTGTCTCGTCTGCCGAGGGGGTTTAAGGTTCATCTGGGGGGCGGTTGGATCCACCCTGCCCATTCGCCTCTGTACCCCCTCCTCCTTCATACCTGGATTTGTTCCGATTGTGGCTTCTACGGGTTTGAGCAGCTCAGACAGGTTTTGGGCTCAGAGTGCCCCAAGAGCCTCACAGCCACGACTCGGAGATATCTGGATAAATTTTACGCAGGCAAGCCGCTTAGGTCCTAAGCGGCTGAGAAGGGGCCACGTGTCTCTCATCATCTTGATCCCTTCGGGAAGGAGCCAATCCAATCCAATCCTCCTGCTTCTCCTCCTGCTGGAACACCTCCTCCTCCTCCTCTTCCATTCCTTCCTTCCTCCTCCTCCTCTTTCCCCTCCTCCTCCTCCTCCTTCTACTCCTCCTCCTCCTCCTCCTCCTCCTCCTCCTCCTCCTCCTTCTCCTCCTCCTCCTCCTCCTCCTCCTCCTCCTTGGCTAAGAATTCCTCTTCCTCCTCCTCCTGCTGCTCCTCTCCTCTTCCTCCTCCTCCTCCTCCTTGCCTCCCTTTTTCCTCTCATCATCAGCTAAGAACTCCTCCGCCTCCTCCTCCTCCTCCTCCTCCTCCTCCTCCTCCTCCTCTTCCTCTTCCTCCTCCTCCTCCGCCTGCTTCTCCTCCCCCTGCTCCTCCTTTTCCTCCTCCTTTTCCTCCTCCTGTTCCTCCTCCTTTTCCTCCTCCTCCTCCTCCTCCTTCTCCTCCTCTTCCTCCTCCTCCTTCTCCTCGGCGAAGAACTCCTCCTCCTCCTGCTCCTGCTCCTGCTCCTGCGTCTCCTCCTGCTCCTCCTGCTGCTGCTCCTCCTCCTCCTGCTCCTCCTCCTTCTCCTCCTCCTCCTCCTCGGCTGAGAACTCCAACGACGTGCTCCCGCACGTCGTGGATCCCGCAGAGGAGTCGCGACGAGAGAAGGGCAGCGATACTGGTATCCCTTCGTCCTGCCGGCTCCTCCCCTTCTCTCGGGAAGTGGAACATATGCATTACCAGAGGCGGGTTGTTTTTGTCAATCCCTGGACTTCTTGAGGGTCGGGGACGACGTCGGGGTGGTGTGGTGTATACTTTCTTCTCCGTTTCCCGGCGAGACAACGAAACATGTATACACCAGGATCCCGTGTAGACCAGGATCCCTTCTCCCGTGCAGGTGCCCGACCAGGGCCGGAAGCGGCGCCGGCGTACTTGCAGAGGCTGCTGCCCTGCCTTCTTGATCCGCCCTCCCCCCCGTCCTCCCAGAGCCCGGGCGCCGTGGCTCTGCACGGCGCGCTGGAGGTCTGGACTTATGGTGTTCCGACCCGCTGTCGCCTTGACCACCAGAAAGAATGTCGAGCACCAGCAACATGTACCGAAACCGGAGGGTGTTTCGCGTGTCGGGCCCTGGGGGACACTCGCCCGACGCTGTCTCGGCACTCTTTCGAGACCCTCTTTGGACACCTGTTCTGGGTGCTCGAGATGCTTTCTGGGAGGCGGTCCTTTTTAGTAGGGCGGGAACGACAGGAGTCTGGACCCCTTCCCCGGGACGGGCTGCCAAGTCTGAGCCGCTTCCCGGCGGCCCCGGGGGCCCGGCCGGTGCCCCAAAAGTAGGGCCTGCCGTCGGGCTTAGCCGTCGCCCGGCGCTGCGGTCTGCGCGCGGCGAGCGGCGGGAGGTTTTGGGGGGGGGGGGGCGCTGGGGGGCGGCACGGCGAGCGCAGGGGAGGCGCCCCGCTTGGCGGATGCGGATGGGGAGGAGCGTCGTGCTATCCAAGCAGGAGCGAGGAGGAAGAGGAGGAACAGGAGGAGGAGGGGGAGGAGGTGGAGGAGGAGGAAGAGGAGCAGGAGCAGGAGCAGGAGCAGGAGGAGGAGGAGGAGGAGGAGGAGGAGGACGAGTGCAAACCCGAGGCTCAAATTTTGTGAGGAAGTCTTAGGCAAAAGGCACGGCCCGCCCTAAAAGCTTGTTTCGGGGTGCGACGCTAAGAAGTTATTGATAAGGAAGAGGAGTGGAGGTCGACGACGACGAGCATGAGCAGGAAAAGCGCGGCGGAGAAGGGTGAGAGGATGGACGGGAAGGGCGCGAGGACGAGGATAATCACCAGGACGAGTAGAAAACAGAGTAGGGGGGATGGGGCAGGAGCAGGGACATTGGGACCGCCCCATCCCCTCTTTCCTGTTCCTTTCCCGTCAGCACTATTGCTCCTGCTCTCCCCCCCGTCCTCCCTTCCTCCCTTCGTTCCTGCCTGCCTCTCTACCCCTCTCTCCTGCCTCACCCTTCCTCCCTGGACGCCCGCGGGAGCGCGCGCGAGGGAGAGGAGGTGGACAAGGAGAGACAATGAGTTGATAATGATGCTGATGCTGATGATGATGTTGCTGCTGCTGATGATGATAATGATGATGATGATGTTGATGATGATGCTGATGCTGATGCTGATGCTGATGATGATGATGATGATGATGATGATGATGATGATGATGATGATGATGCTGATGCTGATGATGATGATGATGCTGATGATGATGATGATGATGATGATGATGATGATGATGATGATGATGATGATGATGCTGATGCTGATGCTGATGCTGATGCTGATGCCGGTGCTGCTGCTGATGATGAGGAGGAGGAGGAAGAGGCATACTACAACGACGATGAGGATGGGGATGAGGATGCGAATGCGGAACATGATAGCTTGATGAGGAGGAGAAGGAAGAGGATGAGGAGGAGGAGGAGGCGGCGGAGGAGGAAAGGGAGGAGGAGGGAGCAGCAGGAGCACGAGCACGAGCACGAGCACGACGACGACGACGACGACGACGAGCGCCCAGACGTTCCTCTCGGTGGTCCACAGCAAGTACTGGCGGCAGATCGAGGACGCGGACCTGCGCCCTGGGTCCGAGGAGGCGGGGCCGCCGTCGGCCTCCTCCTCCTCCTCCGCCGCCTCCTCCTCCTCCTTCGCCTCATCCTCCTCCTTCGCCTCCTCCTCCTCCTCCTTCCTCCTCCTTCTCCTCCTCCTTCTCCTCTTCATCATCATCCTCCTCCTCCTCCTCCTCCTCCTCCTCCTCCTTCTCCCCTCCTCCTCCTCCTCCTCCTCCTCTTCCTCCTCCTCCTCCTCCTCCTCCTCCTCCTCCTCCTCCTCCTCCTCGCTCGCGTGCGCCGCCCCGCCGCCGCGCGGGCTGCCCGTCGCCCGACTGGGAAGCCTGCGGCACAGGCGGCGCTGGGGCTGCGCGGGCCGCCGAGGCCCCGGGCGGCGCGCGGGCAGCCCACCGGGCGAGGCAGCCCCAGCTGGCCTCAGGAGGAGGGGGAGGAGGAGGAGGAGGAGGAGGAGGAGGAGGAGGAGGCGGAGGGGAGAGGAGGAGGAGAGGAGGAGGAGGAGGAGGAGGAGGAGGGGGAGAGGAGAGGAGGAGGAGGAGGAGGGGGAGGAGGGGGAGGATTGCCCCGTCCCCACTCCCGCAGGCGGGAGGCTGGAGGCCGGGGGCAGGCCCCGGGCCGCGGCCCAGCAAGCCGGGCTCCCTCGAGGCAGGGCGGCCTGAGCCAGGCTGCGGTCCCGGGCTTGCGCACAGGCAGCCCACCAAGGCAGCCCCACAGCTGACCTCAACAGGCCCCCCGTGTCCCCGTGTTGCCCTCTCTGGCCTCAACAGGCTCCCCGAGCAGTCCGGTGGCGGCCTCAGCACCCTGGCGCTGTCCTCGCGATCGTCGTCCTTGTCGTCCGCGCCGTCGTCGACGACGTCGTCGGCGTCGTGCTCGTCGCCCTCGTCCTCGTCCTCGTCCTCGTCGTCTTCGTCGTCCCCTTCGCCCGCGCAGGGGGGTGGGTGGGTGGGGCTTGGGTGGGGTTCAGCGGGTGCGGCGGGAGGGTGCGACGGGAAGGCATGGCTGCGACGATTCAAGCGCGGCGGGGTGGGGTGGCCTTGGGTTGCTCGGTTGAAACCATCGGTTGCGTCAGGGAGGCGAAGGAGGAGTGAGCGAGTGAGTGAGACCAGTCGCGAAGCGAATCCCAAAGACCTAGGAAACCCGACGAGCGAGCTTGGCCCGACTCAGAATCTTGGCCTATTGCCCATTCTCGGTTCTGGATAGATGCTCGGCTCGATTGGAATTCGGAGCCTTTGGGCACGGTTGCCCAAGGCCTCTGATCATTTGACTAACAAAATACCCACAGCTCGAGCAGAACCAGAGCTTGAGGGCACCATGCAAACGCATCTTATGTGTTTCATGCACCCACCCCCCAGCTATGTGCAGCTCTGCCCCTGACGATACCCCGAAAACCACACCGTTGACAAACGACGGCCGGAAACAAGACGGGGCTATCGTGGCGGAGCTACAACAACGGAGGCAGCGACGTCCGCACTCTACTCGGCGGTAGCCTGTGGTGAACACGTGCACCACAGACGGAGCGGGAGGGGGGGCAGGAGGGGGCTCAGACTTTTTCTTGGGGCTAGGCCCCTGCAACTCTTTCTCCCGTTCGAGCGTGTCGACCGTGGCTCTGAGAAAACGTGAACGGACCAAGAAAACCTTCTTTTCCCACGACGCAACACGATATATATATATATATATATATATATATATATCACTCTGAGAGACTTGGCACTTCTCGGCAGCAGCATTGGCAATAATGTCGGCAACTGCATTCCCGAGGATCATCCAACAAGAAACGCGTCGGGCCATGATCTCTTTGCTTGAACTGCGCACTCAAACGGTGCCAAAGATCTGCATCAATACCTTCTGGCTGCAAGTAGCGCCTCTCGGCCCAGCCATCCGCCACGTTCTGGTTGTCCGTGATGTAGACCACGGAGCCTGCCGACTACTCTGCTGCCAAAAGCAGCGCTCGCAACTCGCTTCGCGGAACCGACTGGCGGGGACCAGTCAGAGCCCCAGTAGCCGTAGCGGCCGCAATGAGAGGCTCGAAGCAGGACACAGCTGTGAGTGCGAGGCCCACCCGTCTGAACCTCGAATCGCTCGAATACTTACCGCCACTAGCTTCCCCGAAGAGATATATGGGCTGCTGCCGTGTCCCTGTGCCGAGCCAAACTGTATTCCCATCGTTGGTGGTGCAACCTGACGAGAACCAGCTTTCCTCCTTGGTCGGTGGAGGGGTGCTGACCCAGCTCGACGGCAACAAACCTCGGAGCCAGAAGCATTCAGCTGATTCCCAATTGGTGTATGCTTCCTGCACCAGACAATCGGAATGCTTATCTGTTGGGGCTCCCGTGTTGCGCGAGGAACCATATGCGATGAAACTGACATTCTTTCTTCTCTCCACACCGCGGGCACATCTGATCCAAATCAACTCCCTCAATACCTGCTGCTTCTGCTCGACGTGCACGAGGCCACGAGGCCCCTGCAGCAACTGTGACAGCACGCTATGGTAATCTGCTGTCGCGGTATAAGCTCAACAACTGCGCGTGAAGTCGTCGGAGGGACACGCAGTCGATGCCATCCTCCATGCCTCCCCCACAGAAGTGCTGAGCTGCATCTCGCCATAACTTCCGTGAAACCGAAAACTGAACATCGCGGATGAAATTTCCAGGCTCGTCCACATCTGGTCAGCCTTTCCACGCACTGTCGGGCAAATGCCATTCAACTGTCTCTCCATCTGCGGGCTCAGCTGGCCCAGTCCAATCTGCAGCGGAAGCTGGATCCCATCCATGACTGAGTAAAAGGTTGATGATAGCTGAGACTGGACCTCGTATATGGCGAGATCGTTGCTCAGGCGGAATCCCTCGAAACTTCTCCACGAGCGAAGGCCATATGCGACGTGCTCCTGGGCGAATGGAGGGCTCGCTCTGCCGAGCTCTGAACCAAGTGCGAAGGCATTCCTCAGGCCACCTCAGAGCGGGATCGGCAGGCGACGCGATGGCCAGCAGCGTCTCGAGGCATCGCCCAGGGGACGGCGCGGCGATGGCCGCCCCCGGGCGCTGTCTGCATTGCTGCGCGCGAACGCCGAAGACCCCGTGGATCTGGAAGCCGCGCGAGCCCGCCGCCTGAGCCCCCAAGCGCTTGAGCTCGTACGAGACCGCATACTTCCGCCCTGCGCGAGCAAAGCGTCGCACATTTGAGTGCATATTCTTATGCTTGGCCGCCCGCTTTCGACGAGAAGCTCGAACGCGACGACCTCCGCGCCCGAGGTCCGAGCCGACATATTCAGCAGACCGTTCAGCTCGGACATGCGAACCCGACAAACGCAGGGCCCTGGCGACCTTGATCGCGTCGGGGCGATGGGGGCGCATCGCGATGCCATTGCTCGCCTCTCGCCACTTCGTCGACGCCGAAACTCGGCAAGTCCCCTCCAAACTCGGGCCCAGCCGGGGCGAGGAGGGCGATGGCGAGGATGGCGATGGGGGGGGGGGGGGCGTCGACGGCGAGGGGGCCGCTGGGGGCAGGGGGGGGTGGGGGGCGAGGGCAAGAACGGAGGGAGGGGGAGGGCGGCGATGGGGGGGGGGGGGGGGCGAAGGGCGGGGGGGGGGGGCGCCGACGACGCGAGCGAGGGGGGGGAGAGGATGGGGGCGAGGGCGCGGCGACTGGAGCAGCAGGCCGTGGGGGGAGGAACGGGGGGCGTGTTCTACGTCTGCTCGCGTCTGCCGCCTGCTCGCCCTCCCTTTCCTCTTCTTGTGTTTTGTTTGGTGCCCCCCCCTCCTCTTCCCCCTCCGCCTTCGAAGGCGGTGGCATTAGCTGCGGCTGATCCACCGGCCACCTTTCCATATGCAATGAAGAACGAACGCGCCCGCGCACGAACGCGCGCGCACTCTCGCGCGCGCCGTGTATTGCGATGTCCGCGCACGTTTTTTTGTTGTCTGTCTGCCGTGCCCGGCCGCCCCCGCCTCGCCATCGCGCTTCTTGCATTGGAACCCCTTCAGTTCCAAGAGCCAGGACACCCAAGAGGAGGTTATCCTAAACATTGCATTTGTTGCACGTGTGCGCGCTTTTCGGCATTCAGGCGCGCGTTCGACCACGCAGCGTTCACCGCTGGGAAAACGGCGCGCACGCGTGGAAGCAGGCTACGGGCGCGGGCCACGCGCCAACAGCGACTGGAGTCGCTGCGGCGCTGAGCTGTTGATTTACGCGAGAAACGGACTGTTCGGCGCTGGCTCCCACTTGCGACGCTTGGAGGTCAAGGGCTCGGCAGATGCGCGAAACGATCGATCTGGGCTCGATGCGGCGATCGTTGGCTCCAACTCCCCCCCGGGACCTCGAGGCGGACTCGGGGTCCGACGGCGAGGCTACGGTGGACAGACATGTCAGGCGGCTCCGCTCAATATGCTCGGACATGTCTAACGATTCACGCGTGCTGCGTATTTCCAGCGTGTGTCTTAAGGCTTGGTTGGGCCAACTATCTCGGCGGGAATGGAAGTGGGCTTGCGCGCGCGCGAACGCGGCGCCGGAAACATTTGGCACGAAGGAGACGGGATGCGGAGGAGTGGGCGCGCACATAGCAGAGGGTTGATGGAGTTCGGGTTCTTTCCCCCAGGACTCAGGGGGCGGCTGGGGCACGCGTGGTATGTGAGTGACAGCGCGCCCCATAGTAGAGTTGATAATATGTTTGGCTCTGCCGTTGCCGCCCCGATCCTTGCCTCGGGAGGCCCTCTTTTGCGAGTTGCGCGCGAACTTTAGCGCGTGCCCACCGAACGCCCGCGAGACCATCTACCGTTAAACTGCTAGTTCCAGTGGGGACTTAGACAGAACACTCAAAGGAGGAGGGGGCATTCTGGAATTCCGAGGCCATGCAACCCCCGAGCGGCGACAAGCTTCCCTGGAAAAGGGCTGCCGAGGCTGCTTTGTCTGATTCAGAGGCCCTGGAGGTGCTCTCAAGCAAGGCGTGCCAGCTCGGCGCTTAAGACAATTTCAACAAGGCGCTGAAGGGCACCGCAGCAAGTCTCTTCAGCAGCACGCTCGCCGAATGTTCGGCGCG